ATTATATTATAATAAATTCTAATTTTATTAAATACAAGACAAAATTTTTGTTAACATTATTAATATATATGAAGATATAGAATATAAGCTTGAGTCATTGTAATTAAATTATAATTACATAAAAAATTAAACATACATTTATTGATTTAGAAATTAGAATCGTGTTAATTTCTAAAAAATAGTTATGTATTTTAAGACATATTAAAAATTCATAATGAAATTACATGTTTTATCTATCATATAGAAGATAGAACAATTATTACATTAAGCTACATTTATGATCATGTATCTATAATAATTTGAGGTATATGAAACATATCTATTTAATTTTACCAAGAATATTTATTTTTTTAGAAATGGCATAAAAAATTTGTATAATTTTTTATATAGAAAATACATTCAAAAATTAATCTTTAATTAATTTGAATGTTTTTCTTATTATTTAAAATATGCTTTTGTATACTTATTATTCAAGAATCAATTATCTTGTTATTATTGTAATAAGGTAATTTTTTTCTCTTATTTTTTTCTTATATTACCCAATTTATAATTTTATTTTGTTAAATTTCTAAGATTTGTTTTGGTAACATGAACCAAATAATTAGTTTAAATTACTGTGATTTTTCATGTTACATAAGCTTTATATAAGTGCATTTTTTTTTATATCTATATCTATATATATATATATATATATATATTAAATTTTCTTAAATCGAATTACATATAAAGATGAGAAGAACTCTCATTGAGAGATTGTATCAAATAAAAATATTTAAGAAAATAAAAAAATTATGCTAATAATCTATTACATTAAGAGTTATAATTTTAATTTAAAATAGAAGTTATAGAATAGATAGGTAGGATGAGAAATCAGTAGAATATTAAGTTTTTTTACTACGAAATTCAGCGAAGAAAAAATAAAAATCGTAGTTTAATAACATAAGTTGTTTCTTGATATTAGAAAAGAAAAACTTCATCAAACCATTTTTATCTCTCTATCTACAGTTGTTATTAATTTTAAGTAGTTTTATCCTTGAAAATTAGTTTTAATTAATCCAAAGTCCAATAACTAATTAATAGCTTCGAATATCTAAAATTATTTTTTCTTTTTTTAAAGTACATATTAATTGTAATGTCATTTTTTGTTTTTGTTTGTAATACTTATTATGTAGTAAGTATTTGATTCAAGAGTTTTTATGTCTTTTAGAAAAGGGGAATAGAGAATTAAATGCCAAAAGAGTATGAGTGTGTGAATATTTAAAAATAATTGCATCTTAGAGGTTTGCATGTTTTTTGATTCAAATTTAGAATAATGTAATATCTTCTTATTTTTTTCTATACTCTTATTCTTAAAAATGATCTAAAAAATTTATCTTCTTTTTTTGTTTTGTTTTGTTTTGTTTTTTTTGCTAAATAAGGTTTTAGGTTCCATTTGTTAGAAAAGAGGTGCTTTAGTTATCTTAGTTAAATACTAATACAGCCTAGAAGATCAATTATTTTGTATTAGTAGGTAAGCTTGAAGAGGTAAAAAGATTAAAAAAAATAAAAATAAAAATAAAAATTCACACCTTAATTTTAATATGATATTTAAGTAATCAAATAAAGTCTGAAATTTATTTAAAAGATTTTTTTTATCTCAATTTATACCAATTTCAAAACCCTAATTTTTTAAAATGATACTAAAATTAAGAATTTTTAATGATTGAAAAGAATAAAATAAAATAATTAAAATCATTAAAAACATGTATGAAGGTTTTTGAATATCGACATGGATTTTTAGAATTTCTAGCAGATTAAGTACCCCGAAAAGAAAACAATTTATTCAAAAGGTAATGATTTAAAATTTTAAAATAATTTTTTTCAACATAACCTTAAAGTATTTAAATTTTAGTAACAATTTTAATATGTGGTTTGTGTTGTGTAAATGAATATAAAAAGGATCAATTTTTAGGTTATACTTACTTTTAATATGGATAGCAATCATACAATTTTTTTTTTTAAAGTTAGTTTCATATCTTTTAATTTTATTTTAAAAATATTATATTTATATTTGTATGTAAATTATTTTTTAATAATATTTTTATTTTAGTTTTTAATTATTTAAATGTGTTAATTAAAAATAAATTATTAATTTTTTATGTAGTGAATATATATTATTTGACATATATTTGAAATTATGATTTTGTATTTTTGATTTTTTTTGAAATTTATTTTTTTTATTATTATTTTTCAAGTCATTTCTTCAACTATATTATAGTATGAGCAATTTTTTTGTGATTAATGTGTATATTATATGTGTTTTTTTTGTTGATTTCTTTATGTTATTTAATTTTTTAATATTACTATTATGTTGAAATGTTTTGGATATATATTTTAGTTTCTTTACTTAACTTGTTTCTTATTTTTGTAATTTTTTTATCAAATAATTAGTTACATTATTCTCAAATTCTATTTTATGTCATTAACTATAGGTTTAAATTTTGGGTTTGCATAATACGTTTTTCTCTGCAACATAGGTTTATAGATTTATTTAATAAACTTAGAAGAATCACATAATTTTTTTATAATTGAATATCATGTGCAAAACACTTAAAATTCCAATTATCTATTTTTAAACTATAAAGAAATTATTTAAAATTTCTAACTTTTGATGTATGTATTTTGCTATCATTCTTTTTTGCATTTGTAAAAATGCAGTGATCTTTTTGTACGCTTCTTTTAATGCAATTTTTTTATTTTAAAACTACATTTATTGATTTTTTAAAATAAGTAAATAAACAAATATAATTTTTTACATGTCTACACGTTCAAAGCATGTCATGTAGACACAAGAATAGTTCATTAACTCAAACTCCTCCTCCTAATCTTATTGATTACACAAAATTATTATTCACTTATAAAATATAAAAAAATACAAAACAAGGTAAAGATCCATCTTTGATTTTATCTTTTATACAATACACACATTTCATGGGAGTGACTTGTTTTTTGTTTTGTTTGTTTTTGTTTTTGTTTTTTTTGTTTTTTTTTTTTTTTTTATTTACAAAATCGAGCAGGTTGAAATTTGATGATTAAAAACATCTCAGTTAAAATCAGATTTCTTTTTATCACGAATGATTGAAGTATCAATTTTTTTTTTTTCAATGAGAATAATTAACGAATGAAAATATGTTTATGACACACCGTACAAATTTGGAAGGCAAAAATGAGCACCATACAGACAAAAAACGACTTAACTTCCATTGATTTCATCAAAGATGCTTTTTGTTGTGTTTTGTTCTCCCATGTTCCTTCCAAAGAAACATAGCTTTTCTACTCCACCATTACTCACTCACATTCAATCCAACGTGTACCAGTCCCGTTCTCAAGGGTACATAGCCAACGCAACCAGTATTCATTCCCACGCTCATCTACTAGCCAAGGGAAGATCAGGGCGAGCGCCACATCCATTCATCCGTCAATCAATTCATCCATCCACCATTCATCCATCAATCACTTCATCCATCCACCATTCATCCGTCAATCACTTCATCCATCCACCATCTATCCCACATATTCATCCATCCACCATCTATCCCACATATTCATCCATCCACCATCTATCCCACATATTCATCCATCCACCATCTATCCCACATATTCATCCATCCACCCATCGTCCACCACCCATGAATCCATCATTCACCATTCATTCCATTCATCATTCAACATTCACCATTCGTCCATCCACAATCCACCACCCAGCCATCCATCCATGCATTCATACATTCATCCATCCATCCACCCAGTCAGTCATCCATCTATAGAGGGGCCAGGCCAGAGCAGCGTACGTGACCATGATTGAAGCACGCACCTAACATGGAGAGGACAGGCTCTAATATATAATAGAGAAGGAAAAGGAAAGGAAGGAAGGGGGGGCCAACACTAGCCAGCCAGCCATCCAGCAAGCAAACGAAGAGGGGGGAGAGGCGACGAAGAAGCAGAAGCAGAATAAGCAGTAGAAGCTGTCCCACGCCTTCTGTGCCCACAAGTGCTGCCCCCCTCCCCCATCAATGAATGGATAAATGCGTGGGTGAATGAATGGATGCACTCGAGGAAACTGGAGCCGCGAATCGTTTTGTTTTTTGGTTGACCGACGCGGGGTCCGCGTCAGCAGGCAATAGCAGGAACGACCCACCGAAAAGCAGGTTCCTGTGTGAACGCGACCCGCCCCCGGTAGTTGTATAGAAGTAGTATGTGTCTCGCTTCGTCGCCATGGACGGACGGACGGACGAGATGAGGGGGGCTGATGGATCGGTCGCGGGGCAGTCCATCCGTGAGTGTGGTTTCGTCTTGTTCATCCAAGTGCATCCCCCCCTCCCCCCGAGTCCGGGTGCAGCTCCCCTCGGTGGCTCGGATCCGGGCCTACGAAAGGCGAATCGGAGGGGGGTTCGGCGGAGGCGGCATGGGAGAGGGGAGCCGCATGTCCGGTGGCGAGAAGATGCATTTGACAGGCGAGGGAGGGACGGGGGGAATATGAACTGCAGCTAGCTTAAGTTATGGCTCTAGCTTTGGATGGTAGCCAGCTAGTCTAGGTCAAGGGGGTCTGTTCCTCGCTGTGCGTGAGTGATATTGTAGTGATACCTGCATCATTGCAGTTTTTTTTTTTTTTTTTTTTTTTTATTACTCAGAAGGGAAGGGAAAGGAAGAAGGGAAGCGGAGGCGAGATTCAGGGAAGGGGAGGAGCAGAGGAGGAGGAGGAGCAGTGTCTGTCTGTAGGTGTGCTGGAAGGGGGAGCAGGAGGAGGAAGAGGAGGTGGAAGTGGAGCCGGGTGCTGGAGCACAGGAGGAGGGGTAGGGCGGAGAGAAGGTACATCGCGCGGGTTCATTCATGCTTTCAGGTGCATGCTCTGCGCCGGTTAGGTGTGGTGGTGTGGTCTGTGACCGACTCGTCCGGGGGGAGTCTTCCGTGGTTGAGGTTGCTCTGTTCTTAGGATGGTGGCAGCGGAGTAGATGTCCTTGTGTGTGTACAGATTGGGGGAGTGGTTACGGCGGCATGTATTGTGTGTGTGTGGCGTCGCAGACGGGTTGTTGGATCCAGAGTTATCACAGGGGTGGTGGAGTGGTTGTCGAAGTGCTCTGGGGTTTTCAGAGGATAGGTGTATTGTGAGTGATGTTCTTGGTCCTGAATTGGATGTGTTCTGTATCGATGGACGTTGCTCTGGGAGGTTGGGAGGGCATGGATGCAACGAATGACGGGACGACGGACAGGATGATGTGTAATTCGGTAAAGGTCTCGAGAAAGTAGATTTTGAGGCAAGTAGTCGTGCGTGGAGACGGGTTCCCTTCGAATCTTTTGTAGCCAATTTCACATTGTGCTCGGGGTAGTGTTTCAACTCCGCCTTGTGGCTGGTCGAACGAGGGTAGCTGTAGGAGCGGGTTCGAGGGTGATGAAGCCAGGGGGTTCTTCGCGTGACTTCCGAAAGTAGGAATATTTTCTTTGAAATGCGCGTGCGAGAGGTGTTCGCTGAAGTAATAGTTTGAGGAGCACACAAACAACCAGCGTAGCGATTCGATGACCTGGGCTATGGCTGATATGCGTTTAGCAGTGTTGAGATATAGTTTCTAGGTCATAACCGCGAGGTGTTTTTATGGTGTACACGTTTCCGCTGCTAATGTAAGTTACATGGGAGCTCGTCAACAGGTCTAAGTAGATTCTTTCTCACAGACAATTCGCCTTTTGCACCCTAGTTTTTGGAACAGACGGGGTAGTACCTAGAGAAGTACGTGTGAAACATTATTGTGTCGAGTATAATGTCGTAAGTGATTCATTGGGGTTTTTTTCCCCTTTGTGGCCACGAAGCAGTAGTCCTAGCACGTTCAGAGTTTAGGAGTTTTGTTACTTCACTGATCATGGAATTGCTTGGTCACCGCCTTAGTCAACCGGGGTGGTGAATGCCTTGCCACTGCTTTTATGTCCTTTCTGTTTCTTCCACCTTCCGACTGGTTTTTCACTGCACTGCAGTTGTTCGTCATAACCGATTTTCATTCATATTTTCACTGGACCTGAGGATCCAAATATATCTATATATTTAATATTTTGTAATTTGCCGTCTTACAATCTTCACGAATTATTAGAACATATAGTATATTTTTAGAAGCTTCTTGAAATTCGTTACTTGTTAATTTGCATGTATCTTTCCTTTCGTTCGTCGGTGACTTGGTTTTCGTCATGCAATACTGTTGCTCTCGTAGTTTCCTATGCACCATTTGTATCCTGAAACATGCTCACGTTTTGGGTTGATCTTGCCTGCATGGACAGGGCTTCACTCAAATGTGCAACGCTGATGTTGAGGCAGCATGCATGACGGCAGAGGAGGTTTCGATCAGAGCTTTTGTGAGAGCTTCTCAGTGCGTTGTTCGAAAACCAGTTGATGGAATGGGCACACTCTACGCCCAGCCGAAGTTTAGCGCCCTCGACGGTGCCTACCATGGGTTCTACCTCAGCAAAGGAAACGGTGAAGATTCACCCCAGCGAGCCGAGTGGATAGGAGATGATGACTTTGGTATGCATGCCAATGCGGTGCCGCAGATCTTACCCTCTTATCGAACCGCGGCATCAGTCTTCGTACAGTCACTTTCGCCCAAGACCAAAAGAAGACGCACATCAAGTAAAATAGAGGACTCTAACTTTTTAGTTGCAGTTTCGGAGCTCGATCAAGTGGACCGTATAAACGACTTGCCAGATGAATGCTTGCAGGAAATCTTTGGTTTCTTACCCAAGGTAGAAGATCGATGTGCTGCTGCTTCTGTCTGCATGCGGTGGTTGATGCTACAGTCTCGGATGCGACGAGGGGACTTCAAGATTCAGCCTAATATTGTGTGCAAAGGAGGGTGCACCCGAAAGGATTCATGTCCCGCCAAAAATAGTACGAAACCAGCGGCAGAGAAAGGCCTGAATATAGTGGAGGAGTTTTCTGATGTAACAAAGGTTCGCTTTGATGCGGTTCCCAATGATAACATATTGGGAGCCACAGATGAAGTGCATATGTGGGGTAATGAAGTAGACATGGTGATAAACGAGGAACCGCGGGTACAGAGGCAGCCGCAATGGGCATCTGGTGAACTTTCTCGCGCTTTGGAAGGCAGAGAGGTTACCGACGTAAAGCTTGCTCTTGTGGCGATTGGAGAACTTGCACGTGGGGGTCTTGCAGCTTTGAAAATCACAGGAGGGCCTGCTCGTGTCGGCAAAGGTGTTACCGACAGCGGCCTCATAGCTATAGGAAACTGCTGTGCTGCGCTTCGGTCTCTCACCTTGTGGGGTTGCGACAACATCACAGATTTTGGCTTGGCAGCGATTGGGAGTGGTTGTCGGTTGCTGCAGAAACTAGATATAATGAAGTGTCCAATGGTTGGAGATCGAGGTTTGCAAGAAATCGCGAGGGGTTGTCCTTTGCTTTCCACGGTCAGTATAGACTCGTGTTCCAACGTTGGGGATGCTAGTTTGAAGGCTTTGGGTACGTGGAGTGCATCGTTGACCTCTTTTTCTGTCACTAGCTGTTCAATGGTAGGTAGTGCTGGCATCAGCGCGGTTGCTTTGGGGTGCAACAAGCTGAAGAAATTGAAGCTGGAAAAAGTGCGATTGAGCAACAAAGGACTCATTGCGATGGGAGAGAACTGTAAATCTGTTACGAGTATGAAGCTCGCAAACCTTGGCTGGTGTACTGAAGAGGGGTTTATCGGGTTTTTTGAGGGATCTGGTTTGAAACGGTTGAAGTCTCTGCTTATAACCGCTTGCCCGGGAATGACCGACGTATCTCTGGAGGTGGTTGGAAAAGTCTGCCAAGATTTGAAGCTGTGTGTTCTGTCACAGTGCCAGTCGGTCACAGATAAAGGCTTGCAATCCTTTTTGCAGTGCTGTGTCTGTCTAGATAGTCTTCAGCTGGAGAGATGTCATGCAATTACGAACGGTGGTGTGTTGACAGCCCTTGTCCAGGGCAAGGGAAATCTAAGAACATTGAACCTTTCAAAGTGCCACGGTCTCTGGAACGAGGAGAAAAGAGCTAATGAGGTGTCTCTCGAATGCCTTTCCCTGAAAACTCTAAACGTCACAGGGTGCAAGAACGTAGGGGTTGAGCCTGTTGTGAAGATGTGTCTCAGATGTCCTTTGCTGGAGAATTTGGATCTGAGTCAAATGGTCGACCTTAACGATGAAGCAATCATCTCTGTGATAGAAGGTTGTGGAGAACACCTTGTGAGTCTCAATCTCACCAACTGTAAAAACATCACAGATGTGGTTGTTGCCGCAATTGCTTCTCATTGTGGGGATCTCGAGCGTTTGATCCTGGATGGATGCTATCAGGTAGGAGACAGCGGCCTCCAGATGTTGGCCGCAGCTTGCCCTTCACTGAAAGAGCTGGATCTGTCTGGAACTTCTATAACAGATTCTGGTTTACGATCGTTGGTTATTTCGCGGGGACTGTGGCTTCAGGGCCTCACTCTTACTGGATGCATCAATCTGACGGATGAGAGCCTGTCTTTGATCGAGGATTACTGCCCTTCACTCGGAGCACTCAACCTGCGAAATTGTCCTCTTCTTTCTAGAGAGGGGTTGAGTGCTCTCGAGTCCCAGCTGTGGTCTTGCGATGACTTCGTAAGCTCTTTGCAGCTTATGTGATGGCTGTCCTCCAGGGCAACACTTCAGCTGGAAGCACACAACGTCAACATTGTAGGTGTCGATTGTTGCATTTTCGAACTTTTTTGCGGCACAAAATGTTTTTGCGGTTTTCTTGTTGAAGATAGTACCGACCGGCGGATAAGCCAATAATTGCGGTTGTATTTTCCATTTTAGTGGGGTTTCGATGGTTTTTATATGTTGTTACTTGAACAAAGGGGAGCATGGAAGGAAAGTGCCGGATGATTTGCCGGGAACCTGATACCGAACGGTACTCAAGTACAGAAGTGATGCTGGCGTGGAGCCAAACAATGTGTGCACCTGAGGTCCACTACTGCTATTTTTGCAGGCATACATCTCTATGATGATGTCTGTTGTGTTACAGGAGCAGTCTTGCATCTAAAATGCATGTTTTTACGTGGCCTCAGCGAGCTGCCAGTTCTTCCTCATCTTACCTTCTTGGTAGAGTAGAGAGGAATTTTTTCTTGTTCCTATGGCAATTAGATAGCACAGCTTCTTCGTGTGTATCAAAAAATTATGGGAGATATTAGTAGCCGTGAGTTAGTGTATGTCTAGGGAACGTGAGCGGAAGCTCACCATTGCATTATATTTGCTCTCTCTCCTACGAGCATGTTTCGGGATCTCCTGACCCAACTGCAAGTTATTTTTTTTGTGTTCCGAAGTGTGAGAGCTCTAGAACTGAATAGAATAGAATTATGTGTGTAATCACCAAGAAGTTTTTAATATTGTGATGATGATGATGATGATGATGACGACGATGACGATAACGACCCTAAGGACATCTACCGCTAGAATGTACTTACATTTCCCACTTTGTAACGAGTAATTGTCACTTGGATTTGAATGTGTATCCTTCTCTCACTTGTCCCATTTTTTCAAATCTTTTCCTTGTCTGCCATGAAAGTCGTTTTGGTCTTCTTGGGGTGGAGAGAACTTCAGAGATACTCATCGTGTGCATGATTGGGCGATGTCGTCAAAGTTCTGACTCGAGAGTGACTTGGAGGGAGGAGGGCTTTCGTGCTCATATCTGCACCCTATGTGGCTGGTGAAGTTCGCTGAATAGCCATCAATGGTTAATGCAACTGTAGCACTTTGTGCTCTTCGCCTCACAGCTGATTTTTGATCAGAGAGTACCTGATGGGGTCCACTGTCCCGGCCATTGTTCATAGCCATGTTCCCACTCGGAGGCTATTCCAGTGCTGCAGATATTATATATCGATTCGTCTCTCGGCCTCTCCTTTCTCGTCGTGCATCACAGTAATCTATCCATTGGTCCTTGCCGTCCATGGGGGAGCTGGGCACGCGATTCGCAGTCCAACTGTTTCCACACGGCACCGTCTGTACAATCCGCGGGTACCCTTCGCTCATTCTCAGAGACTGACGCTTTTCTGGATCTTAAGTCTGTGGATCAATGAGATGCGAACATTACTCTTCGGTAATGGACCAGATGCTATGGAAGCTTCGAAACTGTTGATCTACAGCGTTCACTGGTAATGTTCACCACTCTCGATCTCAGGTAAATAGAAGAATTCCGAACACGCGTTTGAAGGGGCTGTTGTCAGATCTGCATTGCCGGAGTGGGTTGTGATCTTTCAAGGGATTTCGAAATCGATGTTGAGGATGGATAGGTTGAAGAGATCTCGAGCGGTGAATGCAGGCCTTCGTCACGCGATGACAATGCAGGGTGGGGAACCCTAACGCTCGTAGGTTGTCCACCGAGCTGCGAGAAATCAGATGGTTGTGCTTGCGCTGGGCCAATTGTGACGAGGTGGAACGCTCCAGCTCAGTGGCCAATTTGCCCACTGATAGTTGGGATATCGTCACACGGGTTTTGCGCATCGGTAATGCCGTCGTCGATGAACCTAAGGCATGAAGTTGACATCCTTGTTGCACGGTGGAATCTATATCCGCATCGTTTTTCAGGGGGAATTGGTGAGCTCCGTGAATTGCGTTCTCGACGCCACATGGGACATTGGTGATTGAGGCCGAAGAATGGCAGGCGTTGAAGAATCTTCACGGAGCTGATCTACGAAGGAATGTTCATCTTTTAAAAGTAGGAAGTAATAATATCGAATCCCGTCTGAGTGAGGAGAGCGATTATTATGTCTTTCTAGAGGGAAGTGTAGATGCTGTTGCAGTTTTTAGTTGAGTAATTGTTTCAAGTAGTTTACAAGTTGACCTTGAGTTCGCGTTGGGGAAAAATAACCGAGAAAATTGTTTTGTAGGGTTACATTGAGAATGTATGCTGGTGGTATGGTGTTGATTGGGAAGAAAATTCATAGCTGCGACTGTGGAGATGAAGATGGGCGATCTTGCGGAGTTGGAGGAGCACCAGAATTACGAACAGACTTGCGATGAGCATGTTTTTTTTTCTAAACTGCTTGCTCTGCGTGGTCCATCATCGTAGCTGCGGGTGAAGTCGTTTTTGCCACAGCAAGCATCGTCGTCTCCTCCTGTCATTGTCCCCTCGGCTTCACATTTAGTGGCAGTTTACTGCATGAATTTAAGAGAAGAGTTCCTCCTTTATCAGATGTTACTGCCGAATTGGGGTTAGTATTCTAATTTAGAGAAAATGCCGCTTTTTATTCTTCAAAACTGTCGTATATACCATGCGATTAGAAAGTCGAAGGGGATAGTTTCGTCGGATCTACCATGCATTCGTACGTTTTCTGTTGGGCCAGCTCCTGGGAACTTGCATAGACTTTCGCTCTAGGGTTTTATTCAATGCTTTTATACATCAAATGTTGGACCTATGGATAGCCTGGTGATGGTGCTACTTGTGTTGAAGTACCTGTTGTGAATAGATCATTCAAGTACCCATGATCTAGATTTAAACAAAAGATCATCTTTGATCTTGTAAGTAAAAGTATTTTCAGATGTATATGTAGATTTCAAGGATGAATGCAATTCATTAGATAGACAAATTTCATTGGTGGTATGAAAGTGGGATCTGACCTAATATTACAACATTCCCCCACAAACCTTACTCTCTCTCATTTTATTTCTCTTAATTTTTTTTTTCTCGTATTTTGTACTTAGTTTTGATTTGTAAATCAAAAATGTATCAAGGTTGATTCAAGCAAATTTATTTGATTCTTGGTTCCAAGCAAAGTTTCTAGTTGTGGTATCATAAGAGATATATTTGAATGGCATATACCACTTGGTACTAGAAGTGGTAGCAAACAAGAAGGACAAGGTATTGGAGCTATTGGTGGATATAAACAATAAGAAGTTAGTAGTAGCAAAGTTGAGTTTGTCAAAGTTGATTATACTTGAGTTCTTCATACACTTGTAAAATTGATTTGCTGTTATGAATGTCCATATTTTTTACAATAATTATTTAGATAATATAAATAAATAGAATTAAATAAAAATAGATAAATTTAATAATATCTTATAGAAAAGCTTCTAGAAGCTTTATAGAGGCAGCTTTGTCTTTATACATGTCTATAAATGATTGGTAGGTTGAAAATTTAGCTAGTAAGTTGATCATGTGTCATACATATTGACCACTTGTAGTACAAGTTAAACATGTGGTTTACATATGGAAAACTTGTCTTGGAAGTTAGACATATATTCTATGAGTTGGAAGCATATTGAAGGTCCTATAGAATGTCAACATGTAGCTCTTAATTAAATACTATATATAAAAGTAAGAGTGAGGCCTTCCTTATTCTTATCAATTCTTTTTTTACTTCTAGTCTAGTTTTAAGAGTCTTTATTTTTTTTGACTTAAATAACAGCTATTTTATTATTTTTTTTATTATACATATTTATTTATTTATTTTTTTCATCTTTCTTTAATAAATATTTTGATCACTTATTTGCATTTTTTAAGTTCTTGTTCTTAACAAATTAACAAGAGTACACTTACAATATCAAAGCTTTGTCTTTTCTTCATTAAGAGTGGATTACGAATTTTTCTTGATAAGACATAAGTATATTAGAAGTTACAAATTATATACTTCTAAACTAATATTGTTTGCAGAATTTTCTTTGTTATCAAACCTTTTCTTCTATTTGTCTTGAGCAATATTAGATATTTACTTTTTTATTGTATTATTATAGTAGAGCTTCTTGAAATAAAGATTGGAATGGCACAAATACAAGGATAAATGAAGCAATTAATGCTTATAATGCATCAACTCAATTTACTACTACAAAGACGAATAATATTAGAAGGAAGTAAAGATATAGAAATGATTGGAGTTGCTTCAACATCTACATTAAATCATATTACTTCTTTTATATTGGAACACTATTAAAGTATTAGAAAACCAAAAGTTGCCTTGTTAAAGAATTTTGATGGCTCATAATCAATGTTTTGAGAATTTATTAATCAAGTACAATTGGTGATTAAACTTCAATTCTAAAGCTATCCAATTACAAGATTTTAAATAAATTTATTAAAATATTAATTTTAATTTATGCTTTATTATAGTTTTTATCTTTTTTAAATAATATGATCTAATATTAGATAATTTAAAGACTTTTTGGATAAAATTTTGATCCATATGTGATAAAATATGATGAAATTTGTGTTACAACCAATAAAATTTGTATTTTATAATAAGACTATGAATCAATAATGTTATATGGTTCACAATTTTAACAAATTGTGACTAATATCAAGTAAAATGATGTTGTATATTAGCCAATTTTTTTTTATGGATTATAATATGAAATAAAAAAATTGATATTCAATTTATTTAATTCTTAGATATTAAGCAAAATAATTGACTTTGCTATGAAGTGTAACCATTGACTTTTCAAATTTTGATATGAGAGTTGTACAAGTAGACCTTAATATTTTTGCAATTCAATAGCAATACCAACGTCTTTTTAATACATACATTGAGAAGTGAAAGATACAAAAATTGATGCAATATGTTTCAAACTTCTTATTAAACAAAATAAGACTTATTGTTGTCAAGAAAGATTGTACATATATTATATAGAAATTAAACACACTATTCAATACTATCTTAAAAAAAAAATTCAACAAAAAAATAAATAAAAATTTCCAACTATAATATGAACCATGCATCTAAAATCTTATATTATATCTAATAAAGGTCATATTTTTTCTTCAGAATCCTTTCTTTGTTTTATAAAAGATGTTTGTTTATAACCAAAACATTAAAAAACCTCGACTTTGCCAAATTTAAGAATCCTAGTTTTTTTTTAGATATTTATTTTATTAAAAGACATAACATATTTTTAGTCAAGAAAATCAAATATGTATATATAAAAGTCATAGATAGTCATTTTTTATCTTTTAAAAATATTATCTATAAAATCTTTTTTTTATAGAAGTAGCAATTAATAATTATAATTATTTTGAAATATTTAATATCATTAGATCTTTCTTTAATTTAATTATTTTAAATTCATTATAGATAAAAAATATAATCCTCAAATAAATTAAATTTCTTGTAGTCTTTATTTTTTTAGAACATAATTAAAAAAATTTTAACTAAATAAAAAGTTATAAGTCTAATATAATCAAATTCTTATTTGCAAATGTAAGAACTTTCTTCTATACTACAAAAGAAGAATCAACTTATATTATTTATACCACATTGTCAAAGTCATCAATTTCAAATAACTAAACAATCAATAAATTTTTATGTTACTCAAAGATAGTATAATATTAAATTAGATTGGCTATTATAAAAGACAAGAAGATTAGAAAGTCTTGAAACAAGACTAAAGATTGAAAAGACATTGATAAGAAGGAAGGAGGCTCCACTCTTGCTTTCATATATACTATCTAATTAAAAGCTATATGGTGATGCTTTATAGGACCTCTAACACATGTCCAATTTGTGAGATACATGTCTTAACTTCTAAAGCAAGTTTTTTATATGCATGCCTCATAATTAGCTTATATCATGTCTAATATATTGCTAATTTATTGGCTAAGTTTTTAACCTACCAATTAATTATAAACATGTATAAAGTCAAATATGCTTTTATAAAGCTTTTAAAAAGCTTTGCCATAAGATAATATCAAATCTATTTATATTTCTTTTTTATCTAGTATTTTTTATTTATATAAATATATATTTTTATGACATTACTTTTATTTTTAGAAATAAGTTCCATGAAGAGGGATCATCATAATATTAAAGAAGTCTAAGACATGGCAAATTATATTTGCCATATACTCTAATCTTTGTTTCTTTTCAGGGACTTGACATGTTTTTTTAATAGTATTCCATACCAAGGTAAGAAAACTATCCTGTAATTTCATTATTATTAAGGCCTTTGTATCTTCCTTCAAAAAGAATATTTGAAATATTATTAAAAATAAAATAAAATCACCAAACATATAATCAAATAGAATAAAATCACCAAATATTGAGAGTCTCTTTTAAGGTTGTAATATTAAATATAATGTATCTTACCATCTATTATTAAAGACATGAACCTCAAAAAATTAAAAGATCAATACATTCTTGTATTACTCAAAAAGACTAGAAAATCACTTAAAGATGATATAATATTAAACTAGAATGGCTATTGCCAAAGATAAGAAGAATAGAAAGTCTTGAAACAAGACTAAGGACTACAAAGGTATTGACAAGAGTGAAGAAGGCTTCACTCTTGCCTCCATATATACTATCTAACTAAGGATTATGTGGTGATGTTCTATAGGACTTCTAAAATGTGTTGACTTTATAAGATACATATTTTAATTTACAAGGCAATTTTTCTATATATGTGCTACATAATTAGCTTATTTTCTAAGCCATCAATATGTGATTAACTTTTTGATCAAGTTTTAAACCTACCAAGTAACTACAAATACATATAAAGTCCAAATATTGTCTATGAAGCTTCTAGGAAGTTTTTCTAGAAAATATTATGAAATAAATTCACCTTTACTTACTTCTAGTTGAACACATAAATAAATATTAAAATAAATATGTATGTCTATGACATACATATTTGAAAAAGAATATGTCATTTTTTAGGATCTTTATCTCTATTACGTCATCTTAAAAGCTGTGACAATTATAATATCTTGTCTAATAAGTTAGTAAATAATAGCTTTTGAGTTGAATTTGTTAGTTGTTGATTCTCCATTTCTTTAATATCACAAATATACAAAAATTATAAACAAAAATAGAAGTTAGAATATTATCTTTTGGGATCTTATTTTTTTCATAGTAAAGTTTTATTTTTCTTTATCTTGGTTTTAATAGATGTCATCAATAAAAAGCATCTATATTCTTTTTTTATTTGTAATATTTTTTTATTGGATCCTATATATATTCATTTATATCATATTTATACTAATAAACAAGATATTTCAACGTATTTTGGTATTGCCTTGAATCTAAGACTACTTCTATCTCAAATTTTTGATTATTATCTATTGTCTTGTATGATTCAAGAAGAGACATGTGAAATACCTGATGGATTTTTATAGAATTTGATAGATATAATCAATAAGCAACTAAATTAATTTATTTAAAAATAAAAAATAGTCTAAGCTTATGGTAATTCAACTTATCATAAAGACAACTAGTCTTGATATTGCAATAAAGTAATCATATCTTATTATCAATATAAAATTGAAATTATTCCTTGTAACATGCATCCACATTGGTCTTTTGTCATTCTTGAATTTCTTTAAATTGTCTCTTCATTATTATATGTAACTCAAATAAATAATTTATCAAATATTTTTTTATATAATTATGATCTTTTTCAAAGTTAAAAGTATATAGTCATGGATGATAAATATAGTTAATAAAAAAAAATATTTGTTGAATAGAAAAATATACCATGTTATTATAAGCAAACTTTTCTAATGGTAAAAGAATATTTTTATTAATAGTTAATGGTACACCTCAAATACTACTTTAAAAC